ATATAAAGTTATAAGTCTCGGAGAATGAGAACAGACTATCAGCAGCTTTCTCAGCAGATCAACACTCAATCATTCACAGTGAGCTATTTTCTCGAATGCTTGGGAAGCCTCCATCAGCTTAGGTCATTCCATTTTACAACTGGTTGCTTTATTTACAAGGCCAGAACGTCTCCCTGCAAATTTAGAGTAGTGTCCTGGCCATCCTTGATAAAAGACAGATGTGAACTGAGTTAACCTTTAGGAGACAGAGATATGTGACCTCTGGGTTAGGCACTGTCTCTGTTATGGGAAACTGGCGCCATCAAAGGGGAGGCATGGGGCTTCAGTATACACTGCCTGTAGGTACCAGGAGAAACAGTGACCATGGTGCAAACACCTGGTTTAACTAATGAGCTCTAATAATGGAGTTGTCGTAAAGTATGGCAGTTGGTATCTGAGTTTTACCTTGAGATAGTGTGAAAAGCTTTCTGCTATCTCCTAAATTCTCAGCTTAAGAACCAATTATTCTAATTTATCAACCTTCTAGTATTACTAGCAGTCCCTCTTCTGACTAATCGCTAAAGGCATCTTTTTTCTTACAATTAGTGACTGTCATTGTAATCTACTCTGAAACGTATTTCATGATAGCTGCCTAGTTACCCATTGACGTTAGAACTCACTCCCCTCCTTAGGGTCAGGGTAAGATTGTAAAAATTCCTTTGTTCAGACCTAATGCTTGGTGCCCTAACTATAAAAGATGGCTTCAAAAACTGGCCTTTTGCCACACACGGCCTAACAAACACCATCTCTGGCTGTGGTCTCAGCTAGCTGATAAGCTTCTGTGCCCCGTGGTGGTTTTTAATTTTTACTTTTTTTGTTTGTTTATTTGTTTTTAGAGTCCATAAATTCTTTCATTTTATTTTTACTTTTTTAAGTTTGCTTCTGGTTTTCCTAGGATCTGGTTTCTGGAATAAAGTTTGCTTCTGGTTTATTAGATTTGGTGGTATTCTCATCTTTGTGTGACCCCCCCCTGGACCCAACACTTTTTTTTTTTAAAGTTTTTTTTTAACATTTATTTATTATGTATACAATATTCTGTTTGCATGTATGCCTGTCGTCCAGAAGAGGGCACCAGACCTCATTACAGATGGTTGTGAGCCACCATGTGGTTGCTGGGAATTGAACTCAGGACCTTTGGAAGAGCAGGCAATGCTCTTAACCACTGAGCCATCTCTCCAGCCCCCCAACACTCTTATCTATATAAAATAAACATACATTAAGAAAATCATGCCAGGAGGCTGGAAGATTAGTGATCCTGGGTTCTGTTAGAAAGCAGCAATACTGTAACAGCAACACCTCCCGGTCGCCATGTGACTGGTGGGGACTCTAGCCCAGGACCTGGATATATAGCAACAGCTCTGCTCCATGCCACGCAGCCGACAGGACTCCCTTCACCACCTGCAGCACGTGGAGTAACTGACCCACCCCTCAACAGCTGCAGCACTAGGGAAAACACGCGCGCCCTCCACCTCACCTAGTCAGCGCTACAGAGTTGATCCTGTAGATAAGGGCAAGGGTGAGCGAGCTCTGAGGGTGGTGAGAGCGATCTTAGCTGATACCAACACGTCTACAGTGTGGTGGTGGGTACAAGGGAAAGATGCCCTCCTCCCTTGCCCCTCCTGCCTCCAGCTGGTGAGGTAGCTGACCCCTTTACTAGCTGCACACTTGAGAAAGCAGGTCCTACACCTCTCCCGGCAGAACAAAAGAGCCAACTCTGTCGGTGGAGGTGTGGATGAGCCAGCCCTCAAGTTGTGAGCGTGGGAGAACTGTCCCCGCTACTCTCTGTCATGTGATGACATGGGCAGGGCAGAGATGCTCCCCTTACCCCTTACCACCTGTGACAGACAAGCTGACCCTCTCCCTGCAGCACACAGGAAAGAGGGCCCTGCTCCTCACCTAGGCAGTACAGTAGAGCAGACCCTGTTGGCATTGGCTCAGGTGAGACAGCCCTTAGGCTGTGAGAGTGGGACAGCTGGCCACGCCCCGTCATCTGCCGTGCGGTGGTGAGGGCGAGGCAAGGATGTCCCCCCACCTTTCCCACCCCCACCACCTGTGGTGGACAAGGGAGCTGACCCCTCTCCCTTACCGGGTGCAGCACTCGCCTGAGGCACAGTAAAACTGACCTGGTTCGCGAAGGTGTGGGTACAGGAGACACTGTAAGCATGTGAAAGCTGTTCCCATTATTCATCTGATATGGAGCAGCATGGGTGGGGGGGAGAGATGCACCCCCTATCAAAGCCTAAGGCAGTTGGAAGAGCTGTTCCTGAACCTCATCAGCTGCAGCACTCGGGAGAACGGCCCCTCCACCTGGGCAACACAGTAGAGCTGGCTCTGAACGGGTAGGTATGGGAGTGCAAACAAAACACCACAATTGGGGTGAACTAGGCAGGGCAATGCTGGAGAGCTCATCCTGAACGGCAGGAAGGCTAACCCGGCTATTCAGGCAAGAACCAGGATTATAGGTTGACCTGCCCGAACATCCAACCCATCTGTGATCTGCTGGGACACGGAGTGGTGGTGGTGGGTGGCATTGGTCCTGTGGACATGGGGCTGCAGAATCTACACGACACAGGACAGCCAACAGCATGTCCAGGGGTCCCAGTGAGGGTTCAGGATCGATGGTGAAGCAGAGGTCAAGGGCCTCAAATCAGATCAAAAAATTTGTGATGAACACCTGCACGGATAAAGGGGTTTACTGCCTGACTCACTGTGTCTCACTGCAGCTTCTATGATGAGATTGTTCCTTTCTCCTTTTTCCTCTTAAATTTTATTTGGGGAGGAAGGATGAGTGGACTCGAGAGGCATGATGTGAAAGACACAAAAAACGAAAATTTAAAGTTAAAAAAAGGAGGATGAACAAGCCTTGAGGAGCAGGTTGGTAAGCATCACTACGCATCACCTCTGCATCAGCTCCTGCCTCCAGGTCCTGCCATTTGAATTCCTGTCCTGACTTCCTTCAACGATGAACAGTGATATGGAAATATAAGACAAATGAACCCTTTCCTCAAACTAGCTTAGATATCTACCAACAGATAAAGAAAATATGGCTCACATATAAAATGAAATTTTACTCAGCTATAAAGAAAGATGAAAATAAAATGAACAAGCAAATCCTTTCCTCCCCATTGCTTTTGGTCATTGTGTTTCATTGTTTCATTGATGCAATAGAAAACCCAAGCTGATTACATTCATTTATTTTTGTGTATACCTGTGTGCACACAAGTACACGTGTAAGTCAGAGGACAACTTGCAGGAGTCACCTCTCTAGCTATCCTGTGGATCTAGGGCATCAAACGCAGGTCATCAGGTTTCGTGGCAAGTGCCTTTACCCACTGAGCCCCCTCTCCAGCCCTTCAAGACCATTTCTGAAGATAACAATTACATCTTTTCTTCTTCTAGCCACTCTGTTAAACTGTCACCTCATTCCATTTCCTTCCGCTTCCTCCATCACTGGCCTTCATGGAACTACAGATCCTGTCAAAACCAGCAACAGCCATGTTGGTCAAAGTTTGAGGTGTCTAAAGGGCAGCATGGTTATAGAAGACACATTCATCCTTCCTCCTCTCTGGAGAAGCTGAAACCAGGCTCGAGTGTGCTACACAGGGACTCTACTCCTGAACTACCCTTAGATAAGGGCCAATCCCTCAGATAAAGTGTTAACGTGACTGTGACAATCATAACACAAGAGTGTGCATGCCAAATCATACCTTCACCAAAAAAAAAAAAAACAACAGATGCATCCTAAACAGTTTTATACTAGCTCACAGAAACAATGCCCATGGGAATGGCCCATCCCCCGTGCCCAAATCTTTAATATAGCAGCAATTTCTAAGTCATTCTCATTCAAACACAAGCCTATGAAAAAGAAGCTAAGTTAAAATGTATCTACTTTTAAGATTTATTATGTAGACGGTGATCTGCCTCCATGTATGTATGCTTACAGACCAGAGGCGGGCACCCGATCTCATTATAGATAGTTGTGAGCCACCATGTGGTTGCTGGAATTGAACGCAGGGCCTCTGGAGAGCAGCCAGTGTTCTTAACCACACTGAGCCGACTCTCCAGTCCCCAAATGAATCTATTTTTAAAATGTAGCTATTGGAGAGATAGCTCAGTAACAAAGAGTACTTGCTGTTCCTCCCACAGGACCTGTCTAGCTCCCAGCACAGTTGCCTCAACCTCAAGGTCAATGGGAATCCAAGGCCTAATCTGGCCTCCAGGGCACCTGCATATACCACACCCACCCACACACACACATACGCCTATTTAAAATTAAAAACTAATGTTTTTAAGAGACATGAACAGACATCCGAAATTTCAAATAACAAGATTACCAGGAAAATTTTAGATGTTCAAGCCACTTCTGAAGTCATAATTATTTTTCCCCCTTAATTTCACCCGTCTTCTCATTTTCAGTTGTTTGTTTCTTTTTTGTCTTGAGACAAGACCTCAAACTTGCTGTTTAGCTGAGGATGACCTTGAACTTGTGAACCTCCCGCCTCCGCTTCTCAAAGGCTGGGATCACATCACAGACATGCGCAATCACACCTGACTGTGTGCAGTGCTGGGGATCCAATCAGCATAGCTGAGGGCTTCTGCCATGCTAGGCAAGCCCTTTACCAGCTTATTAACTATTACTCCATCTGGGAGTCCCAATTCTCTTACTGCAGAACTTCAGGATTTAAACAAAATCGATGTGAAAAATAAGCATTTATTACAAAAATTAATTTTGACATTGGGAAATAAAAGTAGACGTGGCATTTCCAAGGGCTGTTGTAACCTGGAGAGATAAACTCCAAGACTGTAAATTGATTCATACTTATCAGAAGCCCCTGAGGGAATTATTTATCTCAAGGGGTAAAGGACCCTGGGCCCTTTAATTTACCCTTACCCTCCTCTATCCCACCCCCCATCCCCCTCCCCCAACCATGACAACAAATTGAAACATACTTGAAAAGGTCTTATCTTTACTGAACTGTTTCAAATTTTTCTTTTATTGTTCAATTGGATTTGATTTCCTTTGGAAAATGCTTTATTGGTGGAAGACCCTTAGGCGAGTGTTTAATTTCCAGCGGCTGAAAGGGGCCCACAGTGAAGAAAGCAATGACCCAGAGCTATCTTGTCATTTCTGCTGTCTCAAACATTAAGGCAGTTCTTCAAATGATCAAAGAACGCCCCCTTAGAAGCCTTGGTCCATTATGCACGCAGGCAGGACAGTGCAGGGCGCTTTCTTCCCCACTGGACTAAAGGGCTAAGGAGAACCCACCCACTTCCTGCCAGCAGATTTCCAGCTTCACCGAGCAGTAGGAGGCTGCGAGGAAGTTCTGACGTCTCTGAAGTATTGCCTTGAGCTAAGAAAACAGTCCTGAGGGCCAGCCACAGGTTGCTGGGAAGCAGAACTTTCATGTATTTTCCTGTTCATACAAAGAAGCCGTCCCTTAAAGATCTCCTTCCCTTACTTCAACAAAAACAAGTTTGACAAACCAAATTTTTATTTCCAACATCTGTCTAATATAAACACACAGAAACACAACCTTGCCAAAGAGCTGGGGAAGCCCAGCGTGTGCACTCACGCGCGCTCGCGCTCGCGCTCTCTCTCTCTCTCTCTCTCTCTCTCTCTCTCTCTCTCACACACACACACACACACACAGAGTCCACCAAAGGGGCAAGACTACAATGCACACATCTCCAGAATTCACACACATCTTACAAGGGTCTGTGCAGTTGTTCCAGTCAAGGGAAGAGTGCTGCCGGCTACAAGTCCCAGCCTTTTCTTTAGATTAGTAGTTTAAATCTCTCTTACTCCAAGCCTCTTGGGAGAGTGCTGAGTTCTCCCACCTCATACGGACCGTGGTGGCAATTTGCTTGTATCCAGGAGAAGAATCCCAGTGGCACATTTTGTGGGGACAGAAGGCTCCAGAGACCAAAGAGCTGAGGTCACCACCGAATGCTTCAGTCCCTCCTTTCTCCAATTCCCACTCTAGAGCAGCAGGCAACCATCCTCATCAAGCGAAGAGAAAACTGGGGAATTAGGCTTAAAAGTTCTTATTCAAAGGCCATTAAAGTCAGGTACTGGTTTCAGGTTCCTGTCAGTCCAGTCATTTTTGCTGCCAAATCTAGGACTCTTGTCCAATTCCACATCAGAACAGGGAATGAGACTTTGTAACTAGTCTCAGGCCATGGTGGGCAGGAAAGAGGAGGGAGAAATAGCCGACCTTATTAAAACCGTATCCTAGCTAAAATAAAAGCAAGGGGTCCTGTGAGACCTAGAAGACATTGAAGGCATCCTGTGCAGCTACAGCCAGCAGGGGCTGGAACCTGTAGCACCTGAGTAAGACAAGTGGAGAAGAAACAGGTGAGCCGCAGGAGGTCACACCAGGAATGACGAGGTCTGTTTGAACTCCCCCTAGGGAAATAAAACGTCAGTAAACACCAGTCTCATTTTGCTCATCAACACACAAGCAGGTTAGACACTTCACTTCAGGCATCCCCTCCTCAGGCCAGATACACTCACCTCACTTCGAGTACTGGGCTGACTGTAGATCACCTTTTTACTTGGTGCGGTCCTAAGGGAAAAGCGGAAATCGAAATCGGAAACACTCAGACCCTGGTAACAATGTATCCTTGCCAGGATGGGGGGGGGGGTCAGAAGGTAAACCTTTGCAGAAAAACAGAGTGCAAGGTGCAGGGTCATTCCCTCTGAAACAGCTGCCTCCACCTAGCTCTCCACCCCACTCCTGGGACTCAGCTCAGCTCCAAACCACACAAGCCCATGCTTTAATGAGAGAACCCTGTGGGACAGCACCACGGCTCACCCTTTCTTTGTTCCTGAAAAAGAAAAAAGAGAGAAAGAGAGACCATGATTACTATCAGAACAGAATGCTGTATGAGTAGGGCATTAGGGGGAAGTAGTATGTGGTTTTTGATAGGAACTAAATCAACTTATCCATGCTCCCTGGGCAGATGGTACCAGCACATGGAGCATGGTATCAGGGTCCATACTCAGATGCTACCCACAAACCACGCAAAGACAAAGAACATCCAGCTGGGTACAGTAGCACTTGCTACTATGTTCAGCACTTAGAGGCTGAGGTAGGAGGATCACTGTGAGTTGTGATAGCCTGGGCTATCACAAACAAGGCAGGGGGGGAAGGCACTTACTTTCAAAGTATCCTCGGCTGTAGGCAAACCAGATGCCAAAAATCAAGACTCCAAGGAGAATCAGTGTTACCAGGACAGCGGCCACGATGCCCCCCACATTCAGCTCCACTGTGAGACACAAATTAAGAGGTGAGGTGTCCTGACAGACAACTGTGCACTGACAAAGCTGTCAATAAGCACATGAAAACTGGCCTCTGACTGTACCCCAGCTCTAACCTCAGGCCGCAGTCACCTTCTCACTCACCAGCGTCCATGCGTACGGCCTCTGACCTCGTGGCTGTCCCAAAGCCATTCTGGGCTTGACAATAGTATTCGCCAGTATCAAAGGCTGTCACAGGATCAAAGATCTAGAGGGAAGAGAATACACTGGTTTCTTGCTCGAATAAATCAAGCATCTATCCCATTAGTTCTCTGATGCTGTCAGCCCTGATGTCTCTGCCTTCCCACTCTCAGGGGTTCTACGGCTGCCCCCCCCCCCCCCACCTTTCACCTCTCCCTTTTCGTACCAGGTCCCCTGTCTTTGGATCAACGGTGTATGAAGAATTGACGAAGGCACGGGTTTTCTTGGCATCTGTAAGCATGTCTATCCCATCCCTGAACCAGGAATACTCAGAAGGTGGGGAACCATCTTGTTCTGAGCAGGTCAGCACTGCCCTGTTCCCAATGGTGACGGAGGAGGGGATATTGACCGTCGGTTTGGATGGGGGCACTAGGGAGGGAACGCAAGGACAATAGGGTTACATAAGTGTAGGTAACAAACCAGGATGACACTCTCAACCAATCAGCTAGAGATGCAACCTGTATACCCCGAGTTCCCATTAAACGGGGTGGGGGAGGGGAGGAGCACTCACCCTCTCTATAGTCTCCCCATCTGCAAGGCCTAAAGCTTAGCAGTCAGTCTACTATCAGGTTTAGGGGAACAACTGGTTTTAAGCCTACACGAAGTTACACGGCACATACCAAGCACGGTGAGGTGGATGTTGACTTCCCCATAGTTCTGGCCACCGTCCTCAGAGACCATACAAGTATATGCTCCGGTGTCTTTCCGGGTCACAGAATTGAATGTGATGCCACTGGACGAGAAGGTAACACGACCTGCATAGGAAGCTATAAAGAGACAGGAGCAGAAGAGACAGAGTAAACTGGCCAGCAAAGAAAAGAGGAAGGTGGACCCAAGGTACATCCTTCATTCTCCGCTAAAAGGAAATACTCAGAGCTCCGGGGATGTTCCCCACCCCAGGAACCCAGGCTGGGCAGTGCCAATGACACTGCAATCTTAACAAGTGGGACAATTTACCTGTGATCTGGCTGTTATAGCAAACAAGCGTGGTAGTGTCACCTTGGACGAACTTCCATTCCACTCGGGGAGAGGAGAAGCCAGAGTAGGTACAGGACAGCTTGACAGCTACAGACAGGACCAAAATGAGAGAGAGAAAGAAGCAGCCCCAAACCACAAGCTACATCCTCCCAACCCCCACCCTGATGACCTCATAGCTCTGGCCCACTCACAGTTATTCTCGGCAACTTGGACGTCGGGCTGAGAAGTGTACACTGATCCCTTGCCTTGTACCAAAGAGCCTGAGAAGAAAAGAGAGGGACCCCATCAGGAGAGAGAGCTTCCACAGAGAAGGAGGAACAGAGCTAGGAAATTAGGCTGGGAGCTTAAGGTAAAGGGAGGGTCAAGCTGGCCAGTATCCTAAACACGTTCAATGTGTTGTTACAACAGCGGGCAGGCCAGTACTACTTTTATCAATAGATATAAAACATTTCTTTCAAACACAACTTCTCTTTATTTTTAGCTTCCTCTATGGCTCCTAATACTCTAATGACATTCCTACTGGTTGAAAGGGAGCTTGTTGAATGACATTTCATGGTTCAGAGAGAGCTCCACCAAACGCTGCCACTTGTCGAAACAATCCTGAAAGAAAGCCAGCAAGCTGGAGGCAAGTCAGGCAGGGGAAGGAAGGGTGGGTAATGAGGATAAAACCACCACTTGACATTTGTAGAACATTAGCCCTTTCCAAAAGGGTTCGGAGATGTTACATTGTTTGAACCTTGAAACAAGCAGGACACAGCACAGGACAAGAGTCAGTAGCCGAATTTTACACAAGCAACAGAGACCACAAGTAAAGCCAGGAGCACGAAAACACACAGCTGGCTGTGACTCCCAGCGACGACTAGAATTGAGCTCAGCTCACCTCACTGGAGTCACACACTCGCCAAATGGAGAAAGAAAAGGTAGTGTGGGTGGGGGTGGAAATATGAGGACGCTAACAAAATAGTAACAGGGGAGCAGGGGAGCCATCGGAGTTCACAGTAAAGTCCTCAAGCTAGTGACAGAGGACTGCGCACACACACCCTCCTTTGTGCTTTCAAAGTCCAAATCTACAAAGAATGTGCTTATTTATAGCTCTAAGTCAGAGTCCTTAGATAAAGGCAGAAAGATGTGTACACTGCGAGCATAGCTACCACACTCAAGTACGCCTTCCTTTATTTATGTATCCACAGAACTGAATACAGTCTTGGACTCTGAGGTCTCATTCCTTAACTGAAACGTAAGAGTTTGCACTAGACGGTCCCCAGAGTCCTGTTGTTCTCCTACTCTCTGGCATCACTGTTAAAAGAGTACTTTGTTTCTGCAGTACTGGGGATCAAAGATAGGGCCTTGTACATAACAGGCATGCACAGTACTACCAAGCCACGCCCCCAGCTAGGCCTACGGAGTATCTTAATATGCATTGATTTCAATCAGACACAATCAGTTGGGTTTTGTTTTTGTTGTTGTTTTTGAGAAAGGACCCCACTGTAAACCAGACTGGCCTGGAGCATCTTAATCATCCTGTCCTTACGTCCCAAATGCTGGGATTCCCAACTCCAGATCTGGGGAATCCCTGAAAGATTCCTGTTTCAAATCTCCACGTAACAGTAGGTAACCCTCCCTCTTTCCACAAGTGTGGATCCCGAGAGCACTCCCTAATAAACTGACATCACAGATACATAAGTGCTTTGCCTACATGTATGTACTGCACCAGGAAGTCAGAAGAAGGTATCCGATCCCCTGGAACCAGAGTTACAGACAGCTGTAACCTGCCAAGTAGGTTGCTGGGAACCGAACCTGGGTCCTCTGCAAGAGCAGCAAGGGCTCTTAACCTCCAAGCCATCTCTCCAGTCCCTTCGATGCTACTCTTAAAAAGTCATACATTGATCTCTAAGTTATTTCTAATACTATCACTTCGCATATTTTTCATTATGGACTTTTTATTTTATTTTTTTGAGAAGGGTTTTTTTTGTATAACAATTCTGGCTGTACTGGCCTTCAATTAACAAAGACCCACCTGCCTCTGCCTCCCTAGTGCTGGGATTAAAGGCGTGTGCCACCACCGCCTGGCTCATTATAGTTTTATTTTTTTTATTTTTTATTTTTTTTTGATTTTTCGAGACAGGGTTTCTCTGTGGCTTTGGAGCCTGTCCTGGAAACTAGCTCTGTAGACCAGGCTGGTCTCGAACTCACAGAGATCCGCCTGCCTCTGCCTCCCGAGTGCTGGGATTAAGGGCGTGCGCCACCACCGCCCGGCTCGTTATAGTTTTAATTAACGTTGAATTCATACTCAAGTGTAACAACAGAACAAGAAATTAAATCAAATAGCCCTCATTAAACGGGAAAATCTTCCTGGGGAGGGATACGATTAAAAGCTCAGTGGTTAAAGGCTCTTCCCACCTGATGACGCAAGCATCGTCACCAGAGTTTGGTCCCCAGAACCTGCGCCAAGGTGAAAGGAGAGAACCAACTCCAATTGTCCTTTGACATCCCCACCCATGTGCATACACACAAATAATAAATCTTAAAAATTAATGTATCTATAAACCCATCATTTGAGAGGCAAAGACAGTCGGGCGGTGGTGGCGCATGGCTTTAATCCCAGCACTCGAGAAACAGAGGCAGGTGGATCTTTGTGAGTTTGAAGCCAGCCTGATCTACAAAGTTATTTCCAGGACAGGCACCAAAACTACACAGAGAAACCCCATCTTGAAAAACCAAAATAAATAAATAAATAAAAATAAAAAAAACAAAACTAAAAAACCAACCAAACAAAAACTAATCAAAAAGAAGAGGCAAAGACAAGAAAACTAATGCAAGTTCCAGGCCGGCCTGGTCTATACAGTGAGTTCCAGGCCAGGTCTGGTGGCTCACAAATCATCGCTGCCTGAATGCTGGGAACCTTGTTCTACAAAGGCTCCGAAGCTTTGCAATTTTCCTTCTGTGATGTACACACGGTGATGTTTGAACCAGATACCTCACTAGGAATGAAGAACTCACTGTCCTAGAGACCGGAGTGCCGCCAAAAGGCAGCCCACAGGCTCATAGCTACAGAACACCGCCCTGCCCCGGGACCTGCTTTCTACCAGGGTAAGGGCAGCCAGAAGCCATTATCTGACAATGACAGGAGGGTACTTCCCAGCTCTCCGAAGTTCCCTGAGGAGTAGGCAGACAATGACAGGAGTAGGAGTTGTCAGTGCACCTCAGCCCCTCTCTCCACCCAATCCTACAGACTTCTCCTCTCCACAGGGGTGAATATCAAGGACACGCCCTACTAAAGTGTCTCGTATGATAATTGGTATCTCAGAGTCAGCTTCCCAAGAACCCAACCTATGACACCACCCAAATCATGAGCAAGCATCTAATTAAACTGGAAAACCATCTAAAATTCATGTGTGCCCGTGCGCACACACAGACACAAGCCACAACGTGTATGACTTTTATTCCGCAGTCACTTCTGGTATCGAATGAAGTTTTTAATTAATCAACTAATTGATTAATTAGGAGTGTGGATGCTCATGCTGAGATAAGAATGCACGGTCAATAAACAACGTTCTGGAAATCACTTCTCTCTTCCACCTTGCAGACCATGTCTCTCCTCTCTGCCACCATGCTGTGCTGTCCAGGCTACCTGGCCAAAGACTTTTTACATGGGTTCTGGTCACTGAACTCTGGTCAGGTTTACCCGCTGGGTCATCTCCCCAGTCTCTAAAACTGTCTTCTGAGTCTTTTGAAACTGAGATCAAAAAGACATCCAGGGATTATGTCACAGACACACATAAAAACTCTGGGCTCCAGGCACAGTCCCCTCTTGAGAATCATAATGGACACAACCTACTTCATGTTCTGTAAAAACACAGGAACCCGCATCTCAATGTCTATCAACCCCTCCACTGCAAATGCCTGTTGGCGAAGACCCACCTGACCAAGACTCAAAAGTCTACTGTGGGGAGGTGAGATGGCTCAACTGGAGGTATAGTCACTTGTCACCAAGCCTGAAGTCCTGAGATAGCTTCCCCAGTCCACATGGTAAAAGTGGAAAACCAGTTCCTCTTACCTCCCTCCACACTGGTGTGTATGTACGTACGTATGTACGTACACACACACACACACACACACACACACGAAATGAAAATTTTCGATTTAAAAATAAAGACTAATTAACTAATAGTTAGCATCCACGGTGCCTGCCTATGTCCCCCGTGATTCAATTCCAGCCTCTGCACCATGCTCTTCTTATTCATCCGCCAAACACAAGGCAACCAATGGGGCCCACATTCCCCTCTCATTCCTTTGCACGCCTTTGGAACCAGACGACCTATGTGCAACTGTGTGCAAATCCCAGCTCTGTTCCCTACTTGACTGTGTGCCCAAGGCAGGCCATTGTAGCCCAATGGGACATTTAAATTAAGCAGTAAGTACTACATGAGGAAGGCTTATATCCCAACCCACCAAATCATCCCCCTTGTCACTGTAACTGCCTCAGGAGGGCATCCCCTTCTAACTTTCATGGGTAGGGCAGAAGAGTTAGGGATCCCCTCATGGACCCCAACTACAATCATTCTCCGGCCAGCCTCACCTCTACTCTTTCCCTGGCCTCAGCACAGCTCCCTTTTTCTTTTTTCTTTTTAAATTTATTTATTATTTTATGTGCATTAATGTTTTGCCTGCATGTTTGTCTGATCTGGGAGTTATAGACAGATGTGAGCTGCCATGTGGGTGCTGGGAATTGAACCCAGGTCCTCTGGAAGAACAGTCAGTGCTCTTAACAGCTGAGCCATCTCTCCAGCCCCTCTTTTTCTTTTTTAATCTAACCTCTGACCCTCCTACAAACTCTTACTAATGCACAGAGTAAATAAAACAGAGAAATCCTATTCTCAAGTTTCATTTACTTAAAAAAAACAAATCTAAACTGGGCAGTGGTGGCACACGCCTTTAATCCCAGCACTCGGGAGGCAGAGGCAGGCAGATCTCTGGGAGTTCGAGGCCAGCCTGGTCTACAAGAGCTAGTTCCAGACCAGGCACCAAAAGCTACGGAGAAACCCTGTCTCGAAAATCAAAAAAAAAAAAAAAAAAAAAAATCTATTTTTAGGACCGGGCGGTGGTGGTGCCTGCTTTTAACCCCAGCACTTGGGAGGCAGAGGCAGGTAGATCTCTGTGAATTCAATGCTAGACTGGTCTACAGAGTAAGTTCCAAGACAGGATCCAAAGAAACCCTGTCTAGGAAAAAAAAAAAGATATATAAATTAAAAAAAAAAAA